GATGGTAGCAATTGTTTGTTTCCGTAAGGCCGCTAAGTGATGGATGGAGGCCCACTGTAAAACCACCCCGTTTTTGTTGGTTTTCCAACTGCTAGCTTCTGGAAGCTGATAATTAAAATGATAATGGCTAGGGGAGAGAGGAAATAGAAAGCGGAATTCGCCTTGATGACCGACACTTGAAGGTAACAGGCGGGCTGATGAAAGCGCTAAGATTTTCTTAATTAGAAAAAAGGGTTGGCGAGGATTTTTTTTTAAACTCGAAATAACGTTTAACGGGTCGTAAAAGAAATGAAACGCCCATCTTCTGGAGAGGGGCCTAATTGCGCTTATATTATTACCCTCCTGGAACGCGTGAGGGGCGAACTTGTTTTTGCGGTTGCCGCGTAGTGACCCTCCCATTGCCTGTTTGCTTAGGACAGTTCATTTACTCTCGGTTCAATACACCGCTGAACAAACATTTGTAGGCACGCAGACTTTGTGTATTGTGATAAAAGGCCCGGTAAATATGGGCCGGTAATCTTTCCGGCTGTACAACAATTGCCTCGTTAAATTAACAGTGTGCAAACAGTACAAACAGAAAACTGATAAATCATCGGTTGTTTTGACAGTAGTTTGGTCAGTCTCTGGTTGATTTGTTATCTGAAATCCCAAATTGGACTACACGCCATCATTTGACTATATAGCAGCACTTTCTATCTAGTTCTGAAAACATTAATTTTCAAACTTGTTTATTTGTATGTTTTTACTCTGTCTTTTATTTACTTATCTATTTCTCACTCTCTCCCTCTCTCACCCTCTCACTCCACACATACACACACACTTATAAAATAATAATATTAACATAGCATAGAGTAATAATAGTAAATAATATATGAACCCGCTGTAATTTAAATAAAGAAAATTTAATCATTGAAATGTTGTCTCCTAATCATTCTCTCGCTTTCTCAGTCAATTTTCCATTTTTATAATGTCGCTCATGCTCTCTCTCTCTCTCTCTCTCTCTCTCTCTCTCTCTCTCTCTCTCTCTCTCTCTCTCTCTCTCTCTTTCTCTCTCTCTCATACTTTCTGTTCCCACACTCTCCTTCCATTGCATGTTCTTTATCATACTCCCTCTCGCTCTCTCTCTCTCTCTCTCTCTCTCTCTCTCTCTCACTCTCTCTCTCTCTCTCTCTCTCTCTCTCTCTCTCATACTTTCTGTTCCCACACTCTCCTTCCATCATATGTTTTTTTATCATACTCTTTCTCTCTCTCTCTCTCTCTCTCTCTCTCTCTCTCTCTCTCTCCTACTTTTATTTAACTCCTTTCTAATGTGTCTTAATGAGAAAAAATATAAATAGATAAATGGAAATAAAATTTCCGTAATAACTGAAAAATAAATTACATATTTTTGATATATAATCTCTTCTTTATATAACAAAGAGTGCAATACATTGTGCCAATAAAAATAATAAAGCCCAGAAATTAAGAAACTACTTACACAATAATTGCTGACATTGAACATGCTACAGAAATAAAATCTTGATCCTTAAGTAGGGTGAGGGGTAAATAAAAGAGGCACCTTTTGCTAAATGCCTTGTTATTTTTGGAAGAGGAGGTTTTATGTTTAAAGGTAACTTCTTTGACAGTTTACATGATCGGCTCTCAAGGGGGTGGATGACACGCAACGATACCAAAGCCCAGGGGACACGCGAGCCGCGGCGACAAGTCAATCACAATTATGACGCCTAGGCCACCGCGGAGGAAATGAAGTTGTTTATCTTTCGGCCATAGCAACTCGAGGAAATTACGTAATTAACACCTTGTCGATTCTGTTTTTGGCCGGGTTGTCGTCGCTATCGGCTAGGCGAAACGTTTTTCCCCCGATAGAAAAGCCGGAGAAGCGAGAGTTCCTCGATACCGATCAGCATTGATTCACCAAGGTGAATGCTTCATTAATGAACGGTGAAATTTAACCTTTTGTCATCCGTACTTTTGTCCTCGTGGAACTTATTTCTTAAACTTCAAATTCTTCTAACAACTTATCCTCATTAAAATACATCATGCAATTAGGAGTGGTGGAGAGAAATGAATAATTCTTTTGTGATAGTTGATTAAAATTAAGCACAATTTTTCATGAAATCTGAAGAAACAGAACAATTCTGAAATAATTTTTCTGAAAAATCACACCAAGCGTAAAATATAAAAACTATGTCTGTATAAATATGAAATTTATTTTTCAGTTATTAAGGAATGTTTATTAACATTTGTCTACGTGTATTTTTCTCATTAACACACATTAGGAAGGAGTTAAATAAATGTAGGAGAGAGAGAAAGAGAGAGAGAGAGAGAGAGAGAGAGAGAGAGAGAGTATGATAAAAAAACATATGATGGAAGGAGAGAGAGATTAGAGAGCGATATTTTATTATATTATTAGAGATTAATAATATAATAAAATATCATAAATAAAATAATAATATAACGTATTTATGATCATGTTGAACGCATTATTTATCAATCACATTCGAGAGAATTCACTTCATTTCCTTGGGGAAAAAAGTGAAGGCGTGAGTGAGATCAAGAGAGAGAGAGAGAGAGAGAGAGAGAGAGAGAGAGTGATAGAAGATAGAGTGAGTAAAAGGGAGAGATGATGATGATGAGGATGATGAACGCTTTATTTATCATCACACAAGACTTGGTCTCAAGAACCATTCTTACATCTAATGTGAAGTACGATGGTTACTAAGTTTAACTTACATCTAATTTATTAAACATTAATTACACCAAATAACCTAATTTTTGTGGTCAGTAGGTTCCATCTATTCGTTCTGCATTGAACATTTACTTAAAATTGCTTATTGAAATAAATATTCTAATTTACATAATAATTGAGCAATTAAAAAGCAAATTACTAATAAAATAAGTGAACAAAAATACTTTTCAATACAATGCAGTACAAATAATGAATTATAAATTACCAACATAAATCTACAAATAAAACTTAGAAGAGAGAGAGAGAGAGAGAGAGAGAGAGATAGAGATAGAGAGAGAGACAGAGAGAGAGAGAGAGAGTGAGTGAGTGAATGAGAGAGATTATAAAAAGGAAAAATGAGTGAGAAAGGGAGAAAAACAGTTGGGAGACAAAATTTCAGTTATTAACTTTTTTTTTAAAGAAATGCAGTAATGCGAGCGTAAGGGGAAAAAATGAGAATAACAAAAATTAATATTTAAAGAAAAGAAAGAGGAACATTGAGTGAAAGGAGAGAGAGAGAGAGAGAGAGAGAGAGATTGGTAGTAGATAGGTAGGGAAAGAGAGAGCGGGAATGAGAGAGTGAGTCAGTAAGCGAGAAATAGAAAGAGTGAAAAAGAGAGGGGGACAGTGATACGGAAACAGAGAGTACGATAAAATAAATAAAAACATATGTGAGTGAGCGAGAGAAATTCTTGGCATGGAAGGTGAAAAAGTATGTGAGAGATTATGTTTTAAAAAAATATAAATTAGTGAAAGAGAGGCCAAATTTAATTTTTCTTTAAGTGAGTATGAGAAAAAAGGGCGATAATTCGATCATTTACAGTTAAAAAAGGAAGAAGTACTTCTAAGTAAGGAAGAAAGTAAGTATTAGTTATTCTTTTTATCTCAGGTTTTTGGTAGAGGTGAAAAGTTACTGTCATGAGCGGGATTCGAAGTCACGTTAGCTCAAGTGGTTAGAACAGCGGCGTATTTAGCAAGGTCGGGGGTTCGAATCCCGCTCGTTACACTAATTTTTCATCCCAGCCAAAAACCTTAGATAAAAAGAATAATTAATTGGAATAACTAGTAGTACGGTCAATTATGATCACTAAGTAAATATGGAATAAGTATTACCTTAAGCGAAAAGAAAGAGATAGAGATAGATGAATGTATAGACAGGTAACTAGAATTAGAGAGAGAGAGAGAGAGAATGAGAGTTTGTGAGAAATTGAGAGATACAGAATGAAAGAGAGTTAGAGAAAGTACAGAGATAGAGAAACAGAGAGAGGGAGAGAAAGAAAGAGTGAGCGAGAAAGAGAGAGAGGGGGAGAGAGACAATGAGAGGGAGAGTACGATAAAAAAGAAACAAACGTGGTGGAAGGAACAGAAATTATGAGAGAGAGAGAGAGAGAGAGAGTGAGAAAGAGAAAGGGAGACAGACAAACAGAAAGAGAGAGAGAGAAGGAGAGAGAGAAATTATTTCCCATTGGGAGTCGTAGTGTAAGTGTAAGAAGTAGGGGAACAAATTAGGTTATATACATATTAAAGTGGAAAAACAAAAAAAAACGTTTAAAGCCTGGATTCAATAATTGGAAAGTTTAATTAAAAAAAAGAAGGAATGCCTGAAAACGCCGGTATATTTTAACAAAAAGTAAAATTTCTTAAGATCCGTTTTCCAGTAATAGCTTATGACATTTAGTGATATCGGTACACATGAAAAGAGATGTACCATTGAAGACCTATCCTTCCGACTCGTTTCGACTCGATTTCCGTTATTTCGAAAGAATGAACAATAAATCATAAGGGGCTAACGTAGTCCACCCTTGTTCAAGAGAGTGTGAGAACAGGGGAGGAAGGACTGTTGGCCACTTGTCCGTAGCACATGATACATGCAGCTGGGGACGTCCGGGAAGGGTGGTGAATGCTAAGAGGTGCTGGTTAAGACAGGGGCACACATGGAACCGATCAATACCCTCCTAGGACTCGTCTTAATTAGCGAGGAGGGTTCGGACTTGCCCACCGTAATTCGGGCGAGGAGAGTTCCAACAACTAAGGGAAAACCGAGTCTAGAGAAGTAAATTGCAAAACGTTGTACTATTAGGAAGTTGTTCGTAGTGAATAATAAATATTTATTACGCCTATTTTGCTGAATTGGATCATTTACATATATTTTCTTGTTATGTTTTAGTACGTTTCGTGTATTTTTTTATCATTATTTTTATTTACAATGTTACACTTGACAGATATTTAATTGTATGACAATACAATAATTTTTCTCCCTATTCTGTTGCAGATCCATTGAGAAGGGCCGGGGCTGGAGGGATGAACAAGGTAAGAACGGAACTGCCCCTAAGGGCAGGGCATAACCATTTCATTTATATACAAGGGAACAAACAAATCTCACTCCGTTCTCTTTTGAATTCCACCCAAAAATCAAACATTGATTTCCTATTTGAGAGCCCCTGGGGAAATTCAGTCCTTCGCATTGGCAATTACAATACATGAATGGCATTACTGTTTCCCCAGTGCGCGTGAATTATTTCCTCGTTGTCACCCAAAAAAAAATAATAGTTACAGTGCTCTTTAGCTTGCAAAAAAAAAAGATTGTATCATAAATGTAAACATTTTCCATCTCCACCATGTTATTTTTTTCCCCTCCGACAAACAGAAAAGTGCTAAAATATATTCAATTAACTCCTGGTAATTAAGGCGGGGATTAGGAATGGAATCCTTTTGGGTGTAATACATCCATTAGTCGAGGACAACGTGTTACGCCCGGGCTATGAAGACTGGGAGCCCGCTAGGGGGATGTGGACAGGTTTTTAGATAGAGATATGACCCCCGGGGGAAGTAGGCGGGACTCCAACAGGAAAAACCTAATGCTGCTATGTTGTCCTCACGAGACGGTGGACATTCTCATTACGTCCACGGATTCCTTTTATCCGAAGAAATAGCCCCATTTACGACCAGTTAGGTCAAAACAGTCTTTATTGAATTGCCTGATTTACCATGTACAATTTGATGTAGTTGGATAAAAGTTTCAACCTTAGGAGTTTCATTGGAAACGAGAATAAGTTGGGCACAAAATACAGCCAAACTTATAGAGCTGTCTATTCCAAAATATTGTTATACTTACCTCACCTCAAATCATTTATATTAATTTACTAGACATAGTATTTAATGGATTATAACGCAATTTACAACCCTATCTCTATTTACAGTCTGTGTGTAGAACTATCTTTTCTAAAAAGTGAATTGATGCTCACCCCCACATCATATTTCGAACCTTGTCATCGATGACTTGATCTTTATGTTAAACTGATCGACAATCATTAGATCCGCCTATTCTCGCTGGTATAATCATTTCACCGTTGGTTCGTCCACTCCCTGACCAACCAACACCACCACTTTTAGACCTAACGGAAACTGAAGCAAACAAGACCAGGAGAGAAAGGGCGAGAGAATGAATGCATGAACGAACGATTTAATTACAGAAATACACGGAAAGTTAGTTCCTTCTAATTATTATGCAGTGATGATTGAGAAGAAAAATTGGAGTCACGAGCAGGATTCGAACCCAAAGGTTTTTTCTTGTCAACCATCTTTGCATAAATATTAGAAAAATAGATAACAATAAACCAATAACTAATTAAATACAGTTAGTTCTCATAGAACTTTCTTACACTTAACGTATAATTACAATTACAATTGTGGTCGTGTAATCTTACTTCAAACTTACTTATGTACTTAACATTTGATAAAGCTAAAACAAAAGAGAAAGTGAGAGAGAGAGAGAGAGAGTGAGTGAGAGAAAGAGAGAGGGACAGAGAGAGTGAGAGAGAGAGAGAGAGAGACGGACAGAGAGAGAGAGAGAGAGAGAAATATCTATCTTACTTTAAGCTTTAACTAAAATAAAACAACCTGTAATTTTTATATTTGTTGGGTCTTCGCAGTAAAAACATTTGAGCTTTGTTAAATTTGAAAATTCGAATAGGATTTTTAATTTTGTTTATACGTCTAGCTAAAGTCAAAAATTCAGGAAGTGCCGATGATTTTTTTCACTTTCTCTCTGCTTCGTACACCAATTTGTTATATTGCAGAACCACTGGATTTTACACATGGTTTCGGCTTTTGTTAAATGTAACTATTTAAACAAAAACTAAGGCTAATTTGTAAAACACTAAATGAGTTTTTTTCCAATTAATTAAGGTTTTGGTTGAGATAGCTCAAGTGGTAGAGGAGCGGCGTATTTAGCCGAAGGCCGTAGGTCCGAATCCCGCTTGTGACACTGACTTTTTTATCTCAACCAAAACATTAATTAACTGAAAAAGAATTTATTCGGTCAAGCGAACCACGAAACCTAATAAATATAAAAATAGGCTAAATGCAGTATTAAGCGAGAACAGGCGGAAGGAAAGTTTATTTCCCTTCAAAACGTGTCGTGTTACTTTGAACATCTACCAACAGTAAAACTCATGGTTTCATCCGACAATAAATTATAGCATTTGACTAAAAAGATTTAAATTGGTTGAACAATAAATAATGTATTATTTATGTGTTATTAATGTATTATACGAGGACAAAAATTGATTTCAGTCACCAGTCAAATCCACTCATGAAACACTTTTACTTTAACTTACTTGCAACTTTAAATGTAAAACTAAACTTCTTCTGTTATTAATCTGTTATTTATCTTCAGAGATACATGGATAAACCATTAAAGCAGTTTTGTTTTTATACAGGGTGAATTGCTACTCGTGCTACAAACTTCTCCAGTAGATTCTTCACCCTAAAATGAACAAAAAAGTTCATATTGTCCATGGTCCGATTCTCAACNCGGACCATGGACAATATGAACTTTTTTGTTCATTTTAGGGTGAAGAATCTACTGGAGAAGTTTGTAGCACGAGTAGCAATTCACCCTGTATTTCGCCACAATACCGAGTTACAAATGTCTCGATGATTTTTCAATTTCACACTATTCTAAGACCACTTTGTAATATCGGGTTCGAGCAGTAAAACGGGATTTTACGCCTGGTTTCCTCCGGTAATAAATGTTAGCATATCCGCCCTAAATATTCCCTCCCCCGTCCGTCTTTTATGCATGCCGCCCTGAGACGCATGTCGCAACAAACATGATATTGGATGGGGGGGCTACCGTAATACATATTAGGCGTATGCTAAATTATAAGACGCTTACCTCTTCTCCCCTTCTTGTACTATCAGCCTATCACGAGTATTACTTTAATCGAGGCTTTAACCCGAATAGCAAATGAATTAACGCGCAACGTATTAAATTTACTTAGTTTCCGTTGTTATTTCTTGTTGAGCATGTTTTTCCTTTAAATATAATGTAAATACAAAAGAAATGAACCAAATTGGATAGAGTTGGACTTTCAGTAAAAGAAGCAGAGAATATGATAATTTTCACGAAACTTTTCTACCTTCTAACTTTAAAAAATTTGAAATGTAATTGCGATTAACCTAAAACTATATAAAACTTAGAAAATAAATTCACTTTACTTTCAAGGCAAAATTTGAATATTTACAATTTATCTAAACAAATCAGTAGGAAAGTTAGGGTAATCGTAAAATTTATACTTTTTACTTTCGTTCATATTTTCAAAGACTTAATGAAATATAAGAAAACATATATTAAAATCATAACTAACACAATATCACAATATGCATCCTGACTCTTTTGTATGGAAGTGCGAAATGCACCTGCCCTTTATAACCTTCAACTAAATGTCTATGACAATGTCACATTAGTTTTTTACTTTATTTTCTTTGCTGGCAATTCCAATTAGCGGGGAAAATTAGAGAAAAACACGCTGACATTTGTAATTCAGCGTTAAAATTAATAGAAATGATGAATGCTGGAGCGATGGTGTTGTCCAATGTTTTCCTGTGTTCTAACCTACAGGTTGTTTTTTTTTTAACCAAGGGATAGTAGTTTTTTTTTGTATCTAATTCTGTTTTTGGGACAAATTGTAAGCCTTTATTTAATAAATTGTTTTCGTCTTTATTTAGTTCTATGTTTGTTAAGTTTATAACACTTGGATAAAATTTAATTGGAGTTTTTCGGTATTTATGAGTATTTTTATTTTTAAGTGTGTGCTTCTTGTTTTTAATTTTTTATCCAATATACTTTGTTTTTTATCAATGATAAATTTAACTTTTGACCGCGTATCATAATCGGATTTATCCCATTTTACTGCAGATTATAATGAGGCAAGTCTAATGTGCACAAGATATTGATAATAACGTTTTGTACCTCTTTGACTGTACAATTTATGTAATTGATTATTTAATATGTTTTTTGGCATTTACGTTGTAAGAGAGTTGAACAGTTCTTATTTCATTTAGCAAGAAGGAATTTTGGGGTTAGGTTTAATATCAATCATTGGGAATTGAACTAGATTGATTTATTATTTTTGAGCATGGAAGTCTTAAGTTAGAATAAAGTTTTAATAGTTCCATGCAGTGAAAAATTCCTAAATTTTTTGGATCTACGATACCGTGAAAACCCACACCAAAAAGTTTTATTGTAAGCTTGCCTCAACCAAAAAACTCCTCTGCATCCACAGGAAAGTAGGACACACCGATTCTATGGAAGCATAAACGGATAAAAGGATTCTGTGATAAATAATTTCCATATACATAACATTTATTTACTTATTTATTCAAAAAGTCCTTCCTGTTCGTTATCTGAGGGCCAAAATAGAGTAAAAACACTTAATGAATTGATAAACCAATTTTATATCTACAAAGCTACTTGCCACTATCCTCTTTTCGTAGTTGATTATTAAAAATAGACCAGACAAAAATAATTCATACCGTAATCGCCTATTTACAGTTACCACACGCATTTAGAATAATGTAATTGAAGTTAATTGTAAACAATCATTTGTTTTTCTGATATCGAATTTTACAAAAGTACTTACAGTAAAAAAATGCTCTCATAACAGTAGAATGAGCTCCAATCGCGATATTTCTCTTCTAACCCTAACGAGCCCAACTTTTCAAAAAGTATTTGCTGTAAAAAAAGAAAATCTACAGAAACATTTAGATGTAAACTATGTAATAACAATAATAATAAAACGAAAAAATTAATTTCAAACGTGTGAACAATATTGTGGAGTTCTCCTGCTTTACTTTTCATTTGTTTTTTTTTCCTTTTTTCTGGGTCTTTGGTTGGTTGGCTCTTGTACTTTCTTTTCGTTTGGCTCCCATTTGATTTTAACTTCTTCTGCTATGTGTCTCATTTTCTACACTAATTTTGCCCGGTTGCCTAAGAAGCTAAGATGATGTAGTATTTCTTCTGAATA